TCTGAAAAAAAGGGGGGGGGGGGGCAACCTGTCCTAAGTCACAGCCGGAAGTGGGGTACAAGGACAGCTCTGATCTACACACTGCACACGCTTGCCCCAGACATGGGTTTCCAACAGCCAGGGACTGAAACGGGCTTCTGCTTTGGCTGACAGTTTCCAAAGGAATCGAACTGGAAGAAGGCAGCTCCTGGTGTAGACATTTTCATGAAGTTTTGATTTGTTTTGTAACAGAAATGTGGAACACACTGAAAATTTAATGTTGTTCAATATACTAAAAAATATATCACTTACTTCGTGAAAAATACTCCTGACAGTGTCTTCTGCAAAAATTTTAATTCAATTTATTATAATTAAAATTTATCATAACTGGCTTTAAAGTTTGAGAAATGTTAAAGTCTCGACTGTTTTATATTGGGTTTTGTTTTGTATTGATGGGTTAGCCTACTGAATTCAGATCTTTCTTCTTTTGTAATACAGTGATTATGGCCCAGTTTTCCTGTAAAGTCTGTTGCAGCCCCATTCCATAAGTTTACATATGTTGTGTCTTCCTTTTCATTAACCTCAATGTATTTTCTGATTTCTCCTTTGACCCAATGGTTATTTAGCAGTGTGCTGTTGAATGTCCACATTTTTAGCTTCCCATTTTTTTCCTGGAATTGATTTCTAATTTAATTATATTAAAATTGGCAAAGTGCTTTGTATTACTCCTAGCCTTTCCCTAGACTATCAAGTGGCCTGTTCGCTGCAGAGAACATGTGCGATGCTGTCGCTGGACAGGTGCTCTGAGCTGTCCGCCAGACGTGGCTGGTCGACAGTCACTCATTCGGGCTTCCCTTCCTGGTTGACCTTCTGCTCGCTGCGCTGTCCAGGACTTCAGCGAGTGCCGCAGCCCCGCCTGCAGTCTCTGAGCTGTGCATTTTGCCTCTGCCTGCTGCTACTCTGTGTGCTCTGGTGCTGTTACACATGCATGCAGGTTTATGAGTGATTCCTGATGAGTGGACCCCTGGACTGTAACAAGACATCCAGCTGTGCAAGGTGGGGGTGCTGTGAGGACAGGGGTGAGGTTGGTACAGTATGTGGAACAGGGAACCCATCCGCGGTCCAGGCATGGAAAACCCTGGGAGACTCTTGCCGGAAACAGGGAGCGCTTATTCCCATGGAGTTGGAGAAAGTGAAACATTAATCACAAAAGGTATAACTGCTAACGGAACAACTCACATCGATGCCAGCATTTCTGGAAGATATGTCCTTCATTCATAACCTTTATATCAAAGAAGTAATTCAGTAAGCTGTGTGTGTCCTGAAGATGCCAGGAACAAATTTCTTCACAATTACAACAACGAATACCCGACACTTCTTAGTCTTTCACCCATCTAATCTTTTGTTCTAATGACTTAGAATGATGATTATTGACCTAATCAGCTCTCAAAATTTCTAGCACACTGATCATTTGAGCAAGCAATTCTAAGTTTAGCACTGGAAATGGCACAAGACAGGCCCCAAAAGGAAATTTTACTCTGATCTGGTCTTTCTTCATTCTGCCCTTTCCCGGCCCTTGGCAGCCACTAACCCACGGATCTACCCACCTGGCAAGTCTTAAATGGACTCATGCAATACGTGGCCTTTTGTGCCTAACTTCTCTCACCTCAGGATGAGCCTTCTAGAGCTGCTGGTGATACCGAGCAGCTGGCTGAAGCATGCATGCCACGGGTTCACCACAATGGCTGCCATGTCCTGAAGGTTCAGGCTGTAGACGTGTCAGCACTGTCGCTACTGCCAAACACCCACAGAACGGGCATAGAGTGTTATGTCTGTGTGCTCACCGACTGGCGGGTGGACACCTGACATCCCAACCGAACAACACCATTACTGAGATTCATGCACAAGGCTGAGTCTGGTCCTATTCAGTTTGTCCGAGGTATGTACACAGGAGTAGAATTGTGGTCCTTACGGTAACTGTTTACAAGTGGCTTCTCCATTTTCTTGTCTCTTATTGAAGTTCAGATAAGACACTCAGAAACAGGATACCATTTTGCAGGTCTTGTCTTCGAGGAGTCTTCAAAAATTGGTCACATTTACTAAATAGCTTGTGAGAAACATTGTCCAGTTCATATCCTCAAGTAGCGTGTTGATTCCTTAAGAATCACACGCATGTTTACATGTGGAGAAAATCTCAGCAATCTGAACCTCATACATACGTGCAAGCAATAGGCACGTCAGGGAGGAGCTCTTCCAGGCGACAGAGGCACCGCAGCTCCATCACGGCGTTCAAAGGGCCAGCAGCAAAGGTGACTCGCAGCTGCCGCCACCTTGATGCCTACACAGTGGAGGCAACAGTGTTTGCACAGCAGCCCCGCACTCGCTGAGGAATTCACTCCCTCTGACCTCAGACAGTCCCCACCTTGCGGGTCCTGCCTCCCACCTGCAAAGGGAAGGGTCAGGGTGTATCTCAGAGTCAGTGCTAGGGGAGTAAGAGAGATGACATGCAGAGTGCTAACACAGCGCCCACGGCACAGGCAGGGGCGGAGTGATGTTGTTGCCATTTTTTTGATTGTTTTTACCAGTAGTAAAATCACAATGGGAGTCAGAATCAAAAGGAACCATTTAAGGGAGAGTGACTGACGTGCTTACAAACTACACGTGGCTTACAAGAAAAACTCAAAGGTGTGCGTGTTCACGTTCTCAGGCGGGATGAGCGAGTACACACTGTGCCTGCCTGTGCTTCTGACACGGCCAGTGCCATCCTGAGGAGAGAGCAGCGGCTGTGAGACCAGGCATGCTGCCGGCTGGGCTCCCTAGTCACACCGCAAGACCCCTGCTGAATCATTCCTCTGGCCTGAGTTCCCTGACCTCTTAAATGCATATTCCATTTTAAGGCTATTCTGAAACTGGAATAAGACAGTACACAGAATTTCTTATAAATTAATATAAAAACTCTTCTTAAACAGCTATTTTGTGCAAGATACAGGCCTATGTATGTTTTGAGACAGGTTCTCAATGCCTTGAACTCACTATGAAGCTCGGGGTGGCCATGAACTTGTGGTGATCCTCCTGTCTCAGCTTCCCATGTGCCACCATGCCCAGTTCACTGGCCTAGGTATGTTGGGTACAACAAAAAAATATGTAACACGAATAACTTGGGCTCAGTCCTTAAGAATAAAGCATTATAAAAATTTAGGAGAAATCATTATTTAAAAAAACCATCACTGAATATTTTCACAATAATTGCTGATTAAATGTTGAAATGTTTCAACTGTACTTTTCACTTCACAATGCAATGCAGGGCGATGCGCTCTGTATATTTCTAAGATACTGGAATTACTTTACAAAGGAACAGCCAG